AAGCGAGCCTTCCAAAAAAGTATTGTAAAATAATATAAAAAAATTTTTTATCAATTGTGTAACGATTTTATGACGTTACAACGTTCCCCCCTGTTTGCACTTCCTGGCCAGTTATCGAGGCAGATTGCCTAACACAATCAGGAAAATCCAAAACAAATTGCTCGTTTTATCAAAAATCGCATATTCTTGAGACCTGCATAAGAAATCAGCTTTAGTGCTCTAACAAAAAGTTTTCATTAAGCAATTTTATTGTATAAGCGCTGCCAAGGAAAAAGGGCACAACGGTTTTTTAAATAGATTATTGATTCTTAGTCTGATTCAGCCCTTCTGATCGATATCGGGCTTTAATTATATCGATATAGTGTACATACATATAACAATAATTAAAGTCCTGATGTGCGTCTGACCAGAAGAACTGAATCAAACTAATAATCAATAATATACTTAAAATACCGATGTGCCCTTTTCTCTCGGCAGCATTCATATAAATTCTTGTTCATCCAGTTTTTTTTGTACACATAACTTCGAACCTGATACTGTCTAATTTAGACCCAACGCACAGAGATTAAGCCGTGGCCTTAGAAGATTATTTTGCCCAATTGTTCAGACCCATTCAGCGTGCCGAATTGGACGTGATTAAAAAAAATTTATTAGTAAAGTGCTAATAAGAGAGAAGAGCATAACAAACAAAAATATACTTACCTCAAGAACCAGCCCACCTCATTCGTCTATGCCGTTTTAACCCCTGTATCACTATAATCCACTAATCCTAACATAAAAAAGCCCATTCACGTTGAAGAAACCTCCAAATGCCAGAAGCGGCAACAAAATGGTATAACGCAACAGATCCAGAGAACGACAACACCAGTGAACGACGGTAAAGCATCAACAAAGGGGACTGTATTCATGAGACTGTAAAATACACCAATAAGCGACGACGCCAGTATACGACGATTCAACCCAGCAAACAACGAATCATACGATAGCTTAACGGTTAGTAAAAAAAATTAAACGGGTTAGTAAATGTAACAAGATAAAGCGTCGCACAAATGCAGTGAGTTTAGGTGGTTAGAAGGTGAAACCGGTTTTAGTGAGATTGATTAGAAGTTGGTTTAACATAACGATAAGAGGTTAAATGATACGGATGCAGTATTATATCATGATAGTCGTCACATGAGAGTTGCATAGGGAAAACTTGTAAATAGGATTTTATTCGTTAATTACTGTTCCGATCTTAATGATTTGGCATTGGGGCGTGACTAAACATTATGTATGATAAATACGTAATAATTTATTATATAGGGTAAGTAGTAAATATTTATTTGTCATACCCTATGATTGGTTATGCTCAGTACCAAATTATTAAGATCGGCACGAATAAAATTTTACTTGCAGGTTTTCCCTGTGCCGTTCTTATATTTATGATTTATACATATAAGGTGATTAGAGTGAAAAATTCGTTGTGTATGTATTATTTATTGCACAAAATTAACAATGGGTTGGGTACATTGTATAAAATCGGAATAACATTTATTGGTACGTATAAAAAAAATTTTTTTGCACAATAGAATTTTAACACGAAAGGTGATGTGATAAAGTGTTAGTTTATTCAACAGATAGGTCGCGAAGCACTTACATTATAAGTTTTATAGTGTACTTTTGTTTTATGGTTTGGGGATAGGTAACAATTATGGGTATAGTAAGTTGGAGAAAAAGTCAAAGAGTTATCGAAAGTTACGTAAGCCTTGTCTATATATTAATGATAATCTATCATATTCTTTTAAAGCTGCAGTTGTATACTTTAGATAGTTATAGTCGAAGCTTAAGATTTGTAGGGAGTCCCAAGAAGTAGCTCGGCTCATCGCGACGTAAACTTGACCTTCTGCAAATATAGTTTCATCGACACTAGTGGTAACATGTGGAAGAGTTAGGCCTTGGGCTTTGTGAGTTGTAAGAGAAAAGGCGTTTTGAAGAGGAAATTGTTGTCGAGAGGCAGGTATGCCATCGATTTCGAAGTAAGATGTTTCTTTTTGAACAGTAACTTTGTTTATGCCTTCATAAGTTGGGAATGTAACTTCAATGTTATTGCTATCTAATAGTTTAGTTATAAGCCCAATTGTACCATTGCAGATTCCATCGTCAAATAGTTTGTTATTTAAAAACATAACCCGGGCTCCTTCTTGTAAGTGTAGGGATCGCGGTAAGTTCGTCATGTGTTTAAATTGTGTTATTGAATGATCAATATCTAAAGTTTCAAAGTTTAGAATATCTTTTGATATAGAGATAATAGGGTCATTACAAGTATGGTCTAATGGTAGATTAGAACAAAGAAGCTGGTTTATGTTGTCTGCAGCTTGGCGAGTTGAGACTATATGAGTGGTGTCGAAAAATTTAGTAGAAGAGATATTAGGATTTACTTTGGATTCAATAATGGATTTACTTAGATTTGATAATCTTCTGATACGAATTTCTTGCAGAATATTATAGAACTGTAAGTCATGCCGCTGTCTTTGTGAGACGGTAAGGAATAGGGGAAAAAATATTTGCCAAGCAGGAGAAAGAAAAACAGGAAGAGGACGTACAGGCGGTAGTTGAGCGAGATCGCTGACGACTAGTGTTGGTAAACCTCCGAAGATAAGGTTATTATTGTGAATTTTAGCGAAGATATCACTAATAAAAGTGAATATTTCAGCATCAACCATCGAAATTTCATCGATTATAAGTACTTCAATTCGTTTTAGTCTTGTTTCATTTTCAAGGTTAGAGTGAATTAGGGTTTGATAACGGCCGTTTCTCAAGCGTATTTTTAAGGACGAATGGATTGTTTTGCCTCCTATATTCTGGGCAGCAACTCCCGTAGGTGCCATTAAGAGATATGATTTGTGTTTTGATGAGAGATATACGGTCAATTGGTGTAATATAAAAGTTTTACCGGTTCCTGCAGAACCGGGTAAAAAAAAATAGGGATATTTTCCACTGACCGTTTTCCCCCAAACATTACACAATATGTTATAATTTTGATATTGTTCGGTATTAAGGTTTAAAAGTGAACGAGTATCAGGATGAGGTAAATGTTTTTCTAAGGAAATGAATTGGTTGAATAGTAGTGTAGATAATTCTTGATTTTGGAATTCGCTTAGTAAAGACCTTATTAGGGAATTATACATATTTGACAAGATATTTGTTTGTGTAATATAACTTTGATTAATTGAGTCAATTGCTTGCGCATATCTAGTAGGGAAAACAGATTGGAAACGATCTTTGTAGGTACGATATCCACCTAATAGTTCATTTTCTGACCGCATAGGGAATTTCATAAGGAGATGTTGAAAGAAAAATGGTTCACCGTCTTCGATTTTATAAGAGGTAAATCTTAACAGAATAGGTGTTCTTCTCTCTACAACTATCCTGTTTTTTTTATCTCGCATATAAAATAATCTCGAAGCTTGGCCGGGTGGTTTAGATTTAAAAGTATAAGCTTGGAAGTAAGTAGGGTATGTTATATCATTGAAGCGTATATGATCAGGGCGATCAAAGTATTTGTCAATGGCATCATCCCAATATGGGGTTTCGTCATTTTGCTCGTTATCAGTACCATTATCGTTACTATTTTGTAATAAGTAAATTGGTTTAACGGATCTAAGTCTAAATTCGGAAGGGGCGGAAAGAAGGTAATGTACCGATACAGAGCATCTGGTTAAAGGGTATTGTAGTAGGAGTATGATTAGTTCTATTGCACCTAGTCTACGGGCCATTATATGTTTTCTATAATCATCAGTTTCGTCAATGTCGAATAATTCCGATGGTTCAGATTTGGTGACATATTTTGTTATATATTTAGCGAAGCCAGTCGAGGTGATGTACTGGAAATTAATATGGCCTCGCCATATTAATAAAGTTTCAGGATTATATGGAACTACCATTCTGTCTTCTTCTTTTGTTCGACAGTATATATAGCGTAATGAAGTCGGAGAACAATATATTCGTTCAGACAAAGGTTGTGGGAAGCCTTTTGAACATGGTTGGCCATTAGATCTTTGACCACCACATCGTTGGTCACAGTGATGTATTTGAAAAGATAGTACTAAGTTGTGTAGTTCACGTTCAGTTGTGGGATCAGAAACATCAGCACGGATTATATTTAGGGAGATTAATTCAGGGATTTTAATTTCGGTATATGCGAAATCATGGGTATGTATAGTTCCACGATTTTGAAATTCATCTCGTTCGAAAAAGTGTTCCCATTGACCCCATCTAGATAAGGACAGATTTTTCTAAAGTTTATTACGAATATTGTTGAGATAGTTACGATAAAATAGGTAGGAATGCAGTGGGCGGTTAGTGGGTAGGGTGTCTCTATTATCAGAGGATCTTAATATTTCATGCAAATGAGGCCATTTATCTTCAGCCATAGTCATGGTGTAGAAAATTTGGGGTAATCCGTACAAGCTTATCATTGTATTAACTTAATATTGTTTTTGTTGAAAAAAGGGTGCCGCAGTTCTAAGGAATGTTGGGATTGTAGTTGTTTTAAATTCATCTAATATGTTCTGATTTTGATAAGAACTTTTGGCTATTAGATCAGCCATTGTTGGGTGGGACTCACGGTTGACATTTCTAGTAGCTAATATACGATTTTGGTTTTGGAAATGCCTTTTTTTTTCTAAATTTAGGTATGACCAATGAGGCCAGTACCAATGTAAACGGAATCTGGGATCAGGGCAAAGGAGGCGTAGTTTGATATATTTCCCATAAGTGTCGATAGAAGGTTGAAAATTTAAAAGTTGTTTTACGTCTTCATAGTGTCCTCGACCATTGGGAAATAAGTCAGGAAACATTAAGGCTTCTAGGTTCGGATCATCAAATGTGATAGGTGTGTTAAGGGTAATATCATAATTAAAAGATCCAGCTAATAGGCTTGAATAATGGGCGTGTTCGTCATGGATCTCTTGTGAAAAGGAATTATTAAGAATGACTAAGTCAGATGGTCTGGGTCTATTATCAGACACATTACTGCGATATATAGATGTAGAAGAGGTATTAAAGGTGATCGATTGTCGGGTTAGAGGTAAGAGAATAGGAGTAGGCGCTGTTGGTGAAGGTTTGGTAATAGTGATATCTGATGCATATTTATGAATGAGACGATTTTCTCGCTTGAGCCATTCGGAAGCAGAGATTAATGATTCATGGAACCAATTGGGTGGTTCATGTACGTTTAAGTAAGCTCCAAGTAATCCAGAGTATAGCTGAAGAGTTCTGTAATTGTGAGACAGACCGATGGTTCCACATAGGTGGCGATAGTTTGTGTAGCAGTTTGTACCCGCAGCTCTGCCTAAAGAGCAACTCATGAAAATAGAAGAAAGATATTTTCTATGAATTATTGGAACATCGTTTATCAGAGAAGGAACCGGAGATAATATTGGAGGGTATCGGCAAGTTCGTTCATTTTTGCATCCACTACAAACAGCAACTTGAACAACATTTCTATTGTTTGTTCAGTGTATACAGGAACTGAGAAGGCTTGAGGTAAGGTATATGAAAAATCTTCATTGTAAGGTATCCATCGGACAGACGAATGCATCATGAGTATCGAACAGTAGGCACAGGGGATATTAGGATAATCAAGCAAAATTTTGGTTTGAAATTGATGCGCAAGACGCTGAAGAGCAGGAGTTAAATGTTGATATAAATAGTTAATAGATTGATTATGAGTAGAAACGGTGGTCGACATATTAGTTGTAGGAGCATTTAATAAGTCTTGATTTATTTCATTTCTCAGAGTATAGGGGTCAAAGATAGCATCAAAAGGAGAAACATCTGGATCTTCATTGGAAAGATTAAGTATTTCAGCAAAAGAAGTGAGCTGAAAGCATTGAATATTATAGTTTGACATTGCAAATTCGAGGAAAATTAATAGAGCTTTGAATACGATATGGGTAAGGTATTGTTTGGATATGATTTAAAAGAATTAAGAATATTTCTCAAGTTTATATATATATTTTTTTTTCAAAAAAAAAAATTTTTACAAGCAACAATGGAAGGTGAAACAGGTAAGTATCAATGTACGAATTAGAGTATATTTTCATAGTTTATACGAATCAGTTTAAGAGTATTTATGAATTAATTATAGCAGCAAAATTTAATATTAAATTGTATAAAGCATAATAATAATAACAATAATAAATTATTTATAGTAAAAATTCGGCTATTTTTTTTATTTTGTTTAATGATAAATTGTTATTATTATTATTTTTGATGTAAAGGAGTTATTTAAAACAGATTCGATATTATTGCGAGGAAATACGCGGTAAGAGATCGTGATGCAGTGTAGTTAATGTTAAAATAGCAAAATTTTACATATTAATATATTATCTTATTTGCAAAAATAAATTTATTTCAGTTAATGATCACAATTGATGCATAAACATCGATTTAAAGAAGAATTAGCTAAAGTATATCAAATCTTTATCAGAAAATTCTCATAAGCGCACATTCTATAAGCGTACATCCTCTCTAAATGTACACTAAAACTTGGGCTTAAATATATATACATGAACTTTATAAATGCACTTTTTTTATACTTTTCTAAGTGAACGTTGTTAAAGGTTAGCATCAAGAGTGTACACTGTAGTTGTATACGAATTTTATCGTTTTGCAGGTAAAAGAGGTCTTAAGTGTTTTTTTGCTTGCTTAGCGTTTTTATTTTGAGAAACAGGTGAATCAGTATTAATAGTTGTGACGGATTCATTGTTTTCAGTAGGTTCAGTATGAGCGTTACTTCCAGTATCTGAAAGAAGAGTGCTGTCAGCGGTATCAGGTGGGTTATTTTGTTTTGGGTTTTCAGGTTTGGGTTCTTTATTAACTTCTGAGTGGTACTCATTGGCACGAACTTGAGAAATGGCGTCCATGAAGTTAACGGAGGCTGTACTTTCATTCGATGTTTTCTTAGCAGATGATGGATGTAAGGTAAGCTTTGGTTTTTTCTGAGAAGGTTGAGAGGATAAAGTAACATATTTTTCCTCAATACTATCCAATTGGTTATCCAACTCTTCATGAGATCTCGATTTGTCTTTGCTTGAAGTACCTGAAGAATATGATTCACTACTTAAATAAGTCCATTCGATATCAGATGCGACAATGTGTAGAATTTTGGATGATCCAATTTTTAATCTTCCTACAACTGATAAAACAGTTTTTTGTAGATTATTTTTCACAGCATTGTATCGATTATTCTCATTTCCATAGGAGACAATAACATTTGATTGAATGTGCTTGTTATTGGTAACGCCATTGTATAAACGCCTTGTTAGCATAAAGCTTTCTCTTCCACCGTCATTGTCTGGATGATAAGAACCTTGTACAACAGGAGCAGAAAAGAGGAGCAGAGGTGATGAGGACGGGAAATCAGTAGGAGTAAGGACGTATTCATTATCAGAAGATGACATGGGAACAGTTTGAACTAAAGCAACCTGCATAAATGCACAGGATAGTTAGCTCATCGTAGAAGATCATGAAGGTAACGCATTTGGAAAGGGATTTATACATATTCTATATTTTCTTCATACACATATCGCCCGATCATTAAAACAATAGAATTCTTTTCAATGGATGACACTAAAGATTCAGGGTAGCCGGTAAAGCCTTTAAATGTAATTTCTCTGAAAGCATCGACATCACTATTGATATGATATAAAGCATTTCTGGAAATATATTTATCACTTCCACTAACAGTTTTAACAAAACATAGGGAAATAAAGATAGAGGACATGATGAAATATTTATAATAAAGAATCTTTGTCAAGAAATGTAGGTAAGTAATAGCGTGTATCCAAGTAGAGCTATGTAGTGATCTTGAAGAGATCTTTTT